TGCGATTCTCAATTGAGTGCAACAATAAAATGATTGAAAATATTAAAGAGAGATCGTCGTACGAAGAAACACAACGCACAGTTGTAGTAAAAAGTGTTGAGTCAGGTATGTGAGTTTCTTACATGTGCTTAACAGAGTTAACTATACTTAGAGTTCGGTCACGATCTCCGCCAACGTGAATCCAAAATTCAAGCAAGCAATTGTACTTAGGAAAGACTGTCAATGAACCAGACTTACTACTCATCTATACAAACCCGGCTGACGATGAGAAATGATGATAACCCTTGCGCTGACTCGCCTCTCCTCGTTTGGTTTCACGGAGTCGCTCCTTTCCACCAAACTGCAATCGAGCAAAGAAACAACGTTTGTTACAATCCTCCATGTTTGTTAGCAGCATAACCAGCTGGGATTATGGTTATCAATTTTTTCTTTTATTATTGATATGGCGTAGTTTCAAAACTAAAACTGAGCATATTTTGCTGACAAAAAACTCAGGACTTTTGAATTGTGCTTATTTTTAAACTGGCACTTACAGTGGGGGCAATTCCCATCTAGCCCACTTCTCTGCCAAGAAAGCTTTTGTTTTACTAATATGAGATTGGCTGCATAAGCAGACAATACAGGTATTGAAAACCAATGTCAATATGAGTTCCTCATTTTCCTGTCACGGTGCCAACTCATGACGGGTCTCCTTTGGTATTGATCCTTTACGACTTTTCGTTCCGATTTACACAAAAAGGGATCATATGCGGACTTCCTATTTTTCGTCTCCTTTCAGATGAAAATATCATGGAAGGAAACGTGTCATTAACACAACCCGCCCACATGGTATCTTTTAACTTCGAAAGCAAGCCGTAGGATTTCTAATATAAGATCAGCTGGATAAATAGGAAATACAGGCAATGAAAACCAATGTAAATAAGGGTTTCTTCATTTTTCTTGTCTCAGTGGCAACTCACGACTTCCGGGTCTCCTCTGATACTGTTCGTTAAGCTCGTCCCTTTAACTTTATACAAAATTGAATCCAATGCGGCCTTCCTGGTTTTTCCTTTCCCATCAAATGAAAATACCATCGAAGGAAACATGTTAACATAGCAACTGCAACTTCTTGTAAAAGCTTTTGAGTTTCTAATCTAAATCTTAGCTTTTCTTCTAGTAGCGCTTATGTTTGCGTTAAGATTGGCTGCATACGTAAGGACTACAGGCACTAAACACCAGAGTGAATATGAGTTTCGTAACTCTCCTGTCATTGTGTAATTTAACGGCTTCCCGATCTCCTCTGATACTGATCCTTTACGGCAAATTCAACTCGAGGTCATATGCGGCCTTCCTGTTTTCACCGCTATCAGATGAAAACACAACCGAATGGAACATGCAATTCCACGTAATAGCTTTTTGACGTCACCACAAGTAGTTTTGGTTTTGAAGGGTTGACCGAAGCTGTCTTAGTGTCCGAAGGGCGATTGCTCCATTTTGCATTTCATCATTATTACGATACCTGCCCATTGCATAAGAGCATTTTCCAGGAAAATGACTTTGGTTAGGCTACTGATAGGTCGGACTTATGGATCCTACGCTAAAGGATGCACGGAATTCTCATGGACTTAGTTCTGACAGCTCGACGCTGATTTTCCACCTTGTTTAGTGTCAACTGAGTTACTCGTCTTCACCCCTATTCAATCGTGCAAGAAAACAAACTCGGCACAATCCTGCACTTTTATTCGTCTCAAAAAGAGCCACGAAATTCAGGTTCAAAATTTGGGGGAATGGGTTTTAACGAACGAACAAGCTGCAGAGAGACAGCGTAGACTTGTTAATTGTTTTACCTTTATTAACAGCTGGTACACGTTACACGTTTAAATAATAATTGTTGCCACTAAGTGAAGCTCTAACGTTTATTTGTCTGCAGTACTTTAGTTTAAATTAACAGCATTTGGGGCCTCTTTACATAATCTCTTTCTTTTATTGTCAGTCTCCAGACAGCGCTAGTTTCTCATCTTTTCCTTTGAAATTTTGCGCGGGAAAATTGGCGCGTGGCCGAGCCGTTGACTGCCACGGACGCCATACGACTTGGGGTAAGGACGACGGCCATGGAAATCAAATTTTGGTGGTGCAGTACTTCAATGCAATACGCTCAAACGTTTTTTACATGTAAGGAAAATGCTAAAGAAGGATATGTTTTATTTCTTGAATTATAGCTGGATTTGAATGAATTTCAGTACTTCCATGGCGGAAATCGCACAAATAACGTTGGCCGATGTTTACATCGTGAGGCATTATTTACAAAGCTGAAGGCTCAAAGTCCGTACAGAAAATATTTAGTCAAGCTTCCTGCTTAACCCAGGTAACGTCAAGATAATGGAGCAGAATATCAACAGAAATGAGTGACACAAGCATCGGATGAAAACTGCAAAATAATTGCAAGGTAGGCTCTACAAAACTTTGTTTCATTTCATACCATTTAATACGTTCTTTGGCTTGGAATGCTATCAATGAATTGTGCTTAGCACTCTAGATGTCAGATAATGTATCTCGGTAAATAAGTTTAATTTTTCCTCCTTCACTGAGAAAATAATCGAAGAAAAAAGGCCAATTTTGCATATGTTCGACTTTTACCTCAACTTTATAAAATGGTGGCCAAAGATTATCTTTCCCTGAATATAATTTGTTTTATTTATAAACTCCATAATTCATACAATAAGTATTATATTCAGTCCTAAAAAGTGGACAGTTTCGAAGAGCTTCTAATAAAGTAAGCTTGGCCATCTTCTCTGTTAAATTGGTTGATCGTGCATTCCTTGGAGTGAGATTTTTTTCCTTGGCGGAAAACATCAAGCAATTTTTGAAGCACGAATTTTAAACTAGTTGATTAGGGCTACTTTCAGAAGATAGTGGTTCGAAATTGTGTTTAATGAATACACCCGAAAGCCAGACGTTACTTGTTCTATTCCTTACGAGAGGAAGGATCGGTCATAATGCAGAATGCGCTAATCAATCACCGGTACCATGGCAACAGCTCATCTTTGAATGAAATCGTGCCAAATGGATCCAGACTTTGGATCAAAACCTAGCAACTTCCATTACCATTATTGTTGATATCCAATGATCGTGGGAGAACAAGCTGTGAAAAAAATTAACTATTAGAACTCCATAACTTTTTTAAACTGGTCAAATTTATTCTTTTAAAACTTCCTTTTTACTAATAATTGTTTTCAAGTTTTGTTAAGTTTAAAAGCTTTTAACTAACTATGAAGATTTTTGTCTATCGAAGGGCTTACCGAACCAAAAAAAGGAGTGGAAAAAAACACTCCAGAAATGTTTTAGGCGATTTTAGCTGACTACAGCATAGAATGTATACCTTGAGGGAGATGACTCATAACAAGGGCTGTCTTAAATTTGCCCCAAGCAGTGTTTTTATCCTACATGAAAAAGGTATATATCAGTCATTATTGTGTGTGATTTTACTTAATTTCCCATGATATTTCTCAAAGAGATACAATTTTATTCAGCGGGAATCTTGTTGGTGGGAGCTCTGTACCACTGCTTTTTAGAACTCCTAAAACGAAGATCTTTCCAAGGAGACTTTCTATTCATTTAACCTTTTTGTTAGGAGGAATTGCCAACGCCTAACGTAGTTTGATTTGTCAAAATGCAACGTTCTTAGAGAATTCAAATACACATGCGCAAGAAATTTAACAGTTTTGACAACGTTCCAGAGCTAATGAGTGATAACAATTGAGTCAAAATGTTCCCTTTGAACTTGTGAATCTCACAGGTCTTTGTTAGAAAAATTTGAAGTGCTGAATTTATTATGAAACCATTGTTTGAATGAAAAATTATCAAAGGACATTTGAGGCAGGCCACGAAACATAATTTCAGATTTTCTTTTTAATTCTCAGTGGTATCTTATCATCCCAGGTTACCTTCCAGCGCTTGCAAAGTGTTCCCTAAAAATTAGTTTCCTCTTATAATTTACGATACTTTAAACAGGAAAGATTCGACGAAACCGCCGAGCGTTTTCTATTAAATTATTCCTGAAATTTTTTTCCAGTAATTTGTAAAGAACCAATTGATGCAAAGATAAATGTTTGACTCAGATCAACTGAGCCATCGTCTTACCTTCAAAGGAAAACTAAATGATCCACGTGTTTTTTTTCTGATTGACATAGATAGGGCATCGAATAAAACATGACGAATCACGTTTATTACATAATTCTTCAGTTCTCTTTTGCTATTTTTGTTTGCTTTGTACTTGGTGGGTTTCGTTTGAAAGTGTAACATGTAGCGGCACAATTTTAAACTAAATTTGCGATGACGTGCTTAAATTTATAATGAAAATTGTAGTCTATATTTTCCATTTGAGGACCAGATTATCAGTAGTTTTTGTTTCAAGCTAGGAGTTTTCGTGTTAGTCGAAGCTTGTGGTGTTAATAAAATACTTAATGCGAACAAAGCTCTTAGTTGTGGGTAACACTGTGCACGTCACTTGTCTTATGATGTGATAATTATCAGTGTGTTAAAAGAATGATATGGGAAAGCTGGTGTCATTGGTCAGGAAAAGTTTAGTGTGAACCCCTTATGATACACAAGTTCGTTTGTCATGCTGTTAGTTTCGGAAGTTCTTGTCTGTTTTTTTTTTAATATTTTTTCTTTTCCTTTTTTCATTAGTTCTTGCTTTTGTTGTTAAGTTTCCGTGTAACCGTCTTCAAAAATATTCTTCACTTCTAATCCAGCTATTGCTACATCAAACACCATGAGATTTCTTAGAAATCCGTGGAAAGTACGTTGATGTGAGGAATCCCGTTTGAGCCCGATGTCAAAAACAGAGTGGCCAGTGGGGTTGAGGTCCAAATTAATAACTGACCCAAGAACATTTTGTTTTTCTTTTTGGAATCCATCTATGTAAAGTCTTCCGATAAGTCCTTTGCGACTCGATTTAGGTACGAGTCCAATTGTCATGTTGTTAGTTTCGGAAGTTCTTGTCCTTTTTTTTGTTGTTGCTAAGTTTCCGTGTAACCGTCTGTAAAAATTTTCTTCACTTCTAATCCAGTTATTGCCACATCAAAAACCATGAGATTCTTTAGAAATCCTTGGAAAGTATATTGGGAGGAATCCCGTATGAGCCCGATGTCAAACACAGAGTGGCCAGTGGGGTTGAGATCTAAATTAATAGTTGACCCAAGAACTCTTTGTTGGCCTTCTTCGAATCCGTCTATGTACAGTCTTCCGATAAGTTCTTCGCGACTCCATGTAAATGCAACGTGCATCCATTCGTCCGTGTGGATATGCCTTACGGAAGGAAAGAAAATCATAAATGTTGATCTATGCTATACTGAATGTTATTTATCTCAGCCATTCAGAGTTGGATAGTTTTTACGAAAAATGAAAAGGGTCCATAATAAGCAGAAGAAATTAACTCACTAGCCAGTGACTTTGATTTTATCCTCTCTCTCCTTTCCGCTCCCTCTCCCACTCCGTATTGACCTTTTTTGTATGCTTTTCTGGCCACAGTAATGAGCGTTTCTGGCGTGGAATGTTTGTTTTCACGAGAGCTACGGGGCATTTTCCCAGCAAAATAATTGTACCTCTCCGGTCTTTTCTTATCATTTACTTACAGCAAATTACAAATTACATTTATTTTCTCACAGTCCTGCTCCAAAATTCGAAAAAAAAAACAAAAACAAACAAACAAACAAAAAAGCAGAACAGAACAAGAAAAAAGGCAAGAAAACTGAAGAGGTTGATTCATCCTTTTCATATAAAAATATCAACTGATCAGTGTATTGATCAGTTGTATGATGCTCACCCTTTACAGAAAAAAACATTCTTTGGGAAATTAGGATTATCCAGGCGGAGGTTGGCGCACAACTTGTAATTTCGTATGCCAAACCTGAACTGGTACGGTGAGAACCCACCGGAGTAAATGTGTATAGCTTGCACAGAAAGGCTTAAAACTCTCATCCAGCACAGCATACTAAAGCTGGTGGTCTGGATTGGGAGTGCTGGGGTTTCTGCGTATGAATGTCCATCCAAATACAGGGCTGTTGTTCCATTAATACTTTTGTAAGTAGCACCATTGTACAAGCTGTCCGCGAGATGGAAATGAAATGGGTTTAGATCATTTTTACTGGTAATTGTTTAGTTATAATGCATTTCTGGTGTGGGTCATGGACAATAACCTACATGATATTCACAAGAGCTTTAGAATTCACCAAATTAAAGTTAAAGCTTGATATGGCAACGCCATCTTAAACCATTTGAGGTAATAGGGATTCGATAGAATTTTCGTCTTTGAAATCTGTAAATTTTTCAGCATGTGGTAGCATATTGTTCTATAACGATGTAAAGTGTAATTATATCGGCGGAAGTCGGAAGTTTGTACGTGTATCAGGTGTGTACTAGATTTGAAATAATTGCAAATTATATTAAAAAATTTTTTCCCGTTATCAGGTTTTTAGTTTGAAACATTCGAAAAAACAAAAACAAAAAGAGCCATGTTTGTGCTGCAAAGCAATGTCTTTCTTTTGTTATGCCCTATTGGAGGAAACGACAAGATGTTTCCTTTGAGTATAAAAATGAAGTGGAAAGAAAGCGTTTCCCCATCGCGCCGTTTCAGAATTTGTTTCATCGTCTTACCTTATGAACGGATCAGATCCATTAAGTATCCAGTGAAAAGGAAATCCTACAATAGAAGAAATGAAAGTGAACTCAAGAAGTTCTTCACTGGGCATATAACTTACTTTAAAAAACTTACTCTAAAAATTACTTTCAAGTACCGTAGGAAATGTACAGAGAACAGTGTGGATCATGGACCATGTTATGGTGTACAAAGGTGCCTGCCTGATTGAAAGTAGTATATTTGTATGAGTTTTTATTTCCAGGGCAGGTACTCTTGCTAATCTTATTGTGTTAAATCTAGCATCGATTTTAGTTCCTGGTTTAAACAGAGAAAACCCTTCCGTATCAGATTTGAATTATCATATAAGCATTGTGATATTACTAATCAAAACTATAACAAAATTCTCGAGCGTGATTGGTTATCACCAGCCCGATTTGAGCACTAATAGGACAGAGTACGCGTCATGCTTGTAATTGGACAGTGTAACATCATGCCCGTGTAAGCGGACAGAACGCGTCATGTGTGCGGGTTGTTGTCTTGCATTTCGCCGAGTTAATGGTTGTTTCTTTTTCTTGAGGAAAAAGTGTAACTGATGTCTAGTTTCTTCTCAAATTTTGTCATAGTTTTGATTAATTGGTAACAAATTGGCACACGTCGTCCAATTCTGTCTGTAATCATACGAGTGATTAACAAATCAGACTCCCGCTTCGCGATCGTCCGATTTCGTTAATCACTCGTATGATTACGGACAGAACTGTACTCCAATCGGTCCCATTACCATTACAAATTATCATGATACAACTAACCCAAGCATAGGGATCCGTTCCCTATCATATCCTGTCTGCACGTGCAGTTGTAGCCGTCTTCAGTGTCTGTACACACGGCGTCCTCGTGACATGAATTCTTTTCCGTTACACACTCATTGGTGACTGGGGAGAGAAAACATATATTAATTGGTATTGGTAGCTTACGAGGCATCGAGTGGAAAACTCAGTCTGGCTATTATTCAGCCCACATTTTCTTCGTCGATCTCGCTGGCAGGAGTGAAAAACCTAAGCATGATTTTGTGGAATAATTCTAGTTGTGGAAATGTTATAAAGCAGAGTCGGCTGAGATTTCAAGATTGAAAAACTGACGCCCAGCTGACAATGCCAACAGCAAGGTTTGTTATTAGTATTACCACTATTACCATAATTATTGTTATTATTTTTATTAGTTATTAATGAGATTATTGTTAATGAGTTCTCGGATGCCAGCTGAACGGTCGAGCTATTTCTTCTTGAGATTTTTCTGAATGATTTTGGTTGATACAGAAAATTTTAAGAATTATTTTAACTATCCTTAAGTTACTGACATCAGTTTAATGACATCAAGAAACAAGAACAATGAAATCCATCTTACTTTGGCATGTTCTACCATCGCCTGTGAATCCTGTCCCACATGTGCAATTAAATGAGCCCACGGTGTCATTGCAAAACGCGTCAGCGGAACAGTTATGGTTTCCAAGGGAGCATTCATCGACATCTGAATTGGATGAAAAACAAAAATTATAATTAAAAAACACCGTCATATTTAATTACTGATGTCACTACAGCATTTCGTTTCTGACCAGTACTCCATTGTGAAACTGGGTGACATCGAGCTCATTTTGTAGAACTATCCGGAAACGTAGAGGATCTTTACAAAAAGCATGTAACGATAACGTAACTTATAAAAGTTAACAATAATTCGTGTAGTGTGATCGTCCGAGTGAGTGTAGTTCTGAAAAGAACTGTTGTTGGTGACTGACGTTTCGACTATCTGTGCGATAGTCATCTTCAGAGTCAAGCCTCAATTGACTCTGAAGATGACTATCGCACAGATAGTCGAAACGTCAGTCACCAACAACAGTTCTTTTCAGAACTACACTCACCCGGACGATCACACTACACGAATTACTGATACTCCTGGGTTCAAACCATTTACTTTACTAAAAAGTTAACAATGTTAAAAAAATATACAATAGATTAAAAACAAAACGAAATATCTGTTTCTTACTTTTGCACTTTCTGCCATCTCCTGAAAATCCAGCTTTACAAGTGCAGGTAAATGAGCCCACAGTGTTGTTGCAATACGCGTCCGCTGAGCAGTCGTGCGATCCAGAGGAACACTCGTCTGTATCTTCAACAAAACGATGAGACCTTACGTTAACTAACGATTAACCACTACGAGCGAATAATGCTCTCAGTAAGACTACCATCAAACCATTCTCTCGATGTTGTTTTAGCATGAAAAAAGGTATTGCGCTAATGGTGAACGTCGAAGACCAGACCGCCTAACCAACTTTTTTTCACAATCTATGCTACTACATTGCTAAAAGATAGCACTTTTGTTTGTCAAATTGCACAACGCTAATAATTAAATAATTGTTCACATACGAAGAAATGATTGTGTGCAACGCTCTACATTAAACGGGTGTATAACAAAGGGTGTATAGCGATAATAATACAAACCTCTTTCGCAGCTTTCAGTTCTAGTCCAATTAGCAGGACAAACGCAGCGGAGTTTTCCGTGAATTGTTGGTACACAAGAAGCAGCCGGGGGACAAGAAGAAGTGCCACATAATTTCTGTTGAAAACGAAAAATATAAAAAAGATTTCTCTCTGACATTTCATTGAAATAAATAACCATATCACTAAGAAATTACGTGTACTACAATTTTTTCAGAAATTTGAAATTTTCCTTTAAGTTTCAAGTTGGCTGGATGAACTTTTCTTCGACTGCTACCGGCCGAGAGCAGTTGACGTTAAATTTTTATTCTGTCATCTTATTCAGATAAACGAAGGTTTGAAATGATCCATACTAAAATACGTTTTCTTTATTATCAACAGTCATTCAGGTCGTAGTGAAGGTTCACACTAGCCTGCAGGGTAGGCGTAATATTGGCGAACGCGTTCTCAGTATTTTCCTAGCGTAAATCATGACCGCCATCTTTTATTCTTATGGCAGCGGAAGGCTGAGGAGAGAAAGAAACTTGTACCAGGGGGGTGAGCGACGGTCAAGAATAAGGAGAGGGATGGGGGTAGGGGAGTATATTTTCACCTTTCCTTTTCTTTGCAGTATACCTACCATGGTTGGATGATAGGAGAAGCCTTCCTTACAGATGAGATGTTCAGGATGTTGAAAGTGATCAGAGTCACTGAGTTCACATTTTAATTTGCCCCTGGTCTCTGAAATTCCAAGATTGAAGGATGAACAGAAGTTCTCTGCGTAACACCTCAATTCACACTGATCTTTGTTATCAACCATCAAGGACTTAATGACGTGATTTTCGAGGTAATTGTCTTCCTCGGGTTGAACAAACTCCAAAATTCTGCACGTTTCTGATAATAAAAAACATGAAAAATGCTAAACGGAACACAAGTTGATTATGATGTGATCTCACAAAAACCAACATGAAGCAATCTAAGGCAGCTGTATACGCCTCAGGGCTCCAGCTGCGTTCGGGCGATACGCGCGCGAGGGCAAATCGTTACTCTAGTCCGCTTTTCTTTATTATCTAGTTTCCCTATCTTCAGCAGATTCTGTGTTAACCAGGTGTAAATATTTTTATGCTAAGTAGGCTAATGGTGAATTGAGGTATTTCTCCTTGAATAGGTTATCCATCATAATGAATACGGAATTATTAAATGTTCTAAATGAAAACAATTAAGTCGTTGAATTTTTTGGACAACTGTCATGGAATTCTGGTTCGCATGAAAGAGATCTGTTGCCGTCAACTGCTGCTCAGGAAAAATGGTCGCGAAGAAAGGTCTTTTGTCCTGCAATGAGGAATTTTCTACTTGAAAATAAACAGGTGGTTTCAAAGAAAACGTTAATAAATTAAACTTGGACCGAAGAGCTGTCATTGCGCAATTTTAACAAGTCAAGATGTTTACTGCCGAAGTCTTAAACGACTTACGTGCAAACTCGCGACTTCCCTTTAAAAAATAAGATAATTTTAAGTTTTAAAAAGTCTTCCCTTAAAAGCCTTCAACCTGAAGGAGAGTTAATTGCAGAGCGTTTGTGCAAGACTTGATACTTCACGAATTTTCACGTACCGAAGACCTCTACGTAATTCTTGATTGCCACAGGCAAGACAATTTGACTTTTATTTTAAGGGTTGAGCATAAGAATTATCTAGCTAAGAGCAGCTATAAAAAATCGTTTACTAATGAAATTCAACAAGGAGAGGCTAAACCAGCTAAGAGTTTACGAAAACAGGGTTTCACTTTCATTTGATCACAATTTTCACAGAAATACTGCAAAAAAATTGAAAAAAAATATGTGTATATATATTTTTCGCGCATTCGAGCGGTAAGTATTCTGAACTTGCAGTCAAAAGCAGAAAATTTGAAAACCCTCGTTTCAAAGTACCAATGCACCACCTGTTTTCATTCCAGTTCATATAAACTCGCGTATTTATAACGAACACTTTAATCCTAACCACAATGATGATTGCAAAGGGTAACGTCGCTTTTGTGTTGCTGAGAGTAAACCATAGCTAGTGGAATATTCAATGACAAAATCGTGCGTAAGAATTCACCAAATGTTCGCACAATTTTTTCTTCTAGATTAAATCTAACCTTGCGAAAAGACATGTGAAACGAACAACACCTTCCACAGAGCAGCAAATGTAGTGGACATACTTTTTACATCAACTTTATCACCTTTCTGTCACTCTCTAGGAAACCAAAAGCTCTGCTCACAACCTGGATTTTCAGAATAGAATGATTATTGTTGACAGGTGGTGACAGCTGAAAAATTCATTGTGAAAACAATAGTAGAAACCACGGTAACTCGAACTCAGCTAACTCAAACCCCCCAGTAACTCAAATAAGATCCCATTTCCCTCGGGCCCAACTTATCAGCTTACGGGAGTTCGAGCGAGCTGGGTTCTTCTGTTCACCCTTTTCGGCAAGGCTTTAAGTGTTGTCCTTGTATCCTAATTTTTTACTTAATTATCGAATACAGACCACTCTTTATCACGAAATTTCAAATCTTTTGCACCTATCACTTAACTTTTATGACTGATCGCCTCACATGAGGGGAAAATTACTCGCAGAGTCTCTTTAAGGTAGCTACCGCAAACCTAGTCGCACGGAAGACAACGATCCCGTCACAAGACTGTGCACATGTCTGAAAACATGACAATTCCTGAGAATTTTTGACAATTAGTGAACTGTTCAACGAACTCGCCACAAAGAAAAGCCGTTGACACCTGCTTCCTGTTGTGCGCAGCCGACAAGAAGGCCCTCTAACGAATCCTACCCTAGGGAAATAAAAAAGCAGCTCTTCCACGGAGGTTCGTAAATAGCTCATGTCAATATTCATTCAATCTTAATATACAATAAAAGTTTGAGAAAACAGGAATTGCGAGGGTCTCACAGTTTGCACACATATTTTCAGACCTTTTTCTTTTCCACACTCAAAATGTAACCGTGATGAACGTAACCACACTTGTAAAGGCAAAACAGTGCGTACCAATAAAAACAATTTTACTGATTAGAGTGAATGCTTAATGCTACAACATGTACGTGATAGCTGACAAATATTTCCCTAAACAATCAAGCGCTTGTTAATGAATGCAAAAAATTTAGACTTTGTTTACCATATCTTGAACAAACTTTTTCTACAATTCCTACCCCTGTGCGAACGCTGGTTTTGATCAAAATTGTAAATGGAAGAAATGAGTATGCGAAAACGTAAAAACGATGACTGCTTTCAAAATATTTTTGTCAAACCTCCTTTGTCGTTATACTGTAAAGAGCTCGACAAAGAGAATTTCAAAACATCGTTTTAATCAATTGAACTTAACAAAAAATTTTGTCCACACTCTACTTGGTGGGATTTATGTATTAGTTATTCTCAATTTGCTTGAATGTGAAGTGCAATTGTTTGTCTCATTATGTAGTCACTTCCGATGTCAATCTTCAGCGACGTTTGGACTGCATATTGCGAACCCTTTTCAGGCGGTAAGGTCGATTCTTTTTTTGTTTTGGCTAATAACATGCATTTTTATGGGGGTTTTTCTGTATTTCGCTGGACCCCCTTGTCAAATAACGTTTTTAATGATCTTTCCCTAAATAACGAAAAACATGGTCTTGAAGACTGAGCGATTTTTGACGTAAAAAAAATTATTAAGAAAACAGAACTACTCTCTTAATCAGTTGACATGTCATGCAAAGACCTACTATAACAATAAAATTAATCATCATATGCTAAAACAATAGAGATCACTGAAGGCGCACTCTTATTGGCAACTCAAATTCCGATTATTCTTTGCTTTTCACCTCCAAGCAACTCGCGCAGAATTTGCGTCCGAAAATATTGTAATCACTGCAGGCATAAATGATCATCCTTTTGTGCTGTATTATCTCACTGTTTTTTTTTTTACACTAAAACAGCTATTTACCTTAGCGTTGGTGGTTAGCGGTGGATATTTACCGGGGTCGCTTCGTGGTAGTGAAAAACTGTTAAATAACCAGTGACATTAGATAACTTGGATGCATTCATCGGTTTCAATGCATCTCAGACGTCAAAAACTAAAATCTTGACTAATATACGTCTCATCAAGCGCCACTCAATGTATTCAGACAAGAGAAAAGAAGAAGAAAGATACCCTTATTTTCCCGCGATTCAGATCACAGTAGTTGAACTCCCTGATAAGTTTCACAGTTGTTTGGCGGCCTGGCGCGTACTGTGCTGAATATACGTCTGCAAAATACATGTAGTCATTTTTTGTTTCACGATGAGTATTATTTTTTCAAAATGGTCCATATTTCTATAGCGAGAGATTCAGGAAAAGAAATCTGGAGATAAAATATGTCAGCATTCAAAGCACGTGAGGACGATTGGGTTCTTTGATTAACGTGACGTTAGCGTCTTGACAGAAATGTAAACAAGCCTGTATGAAGTCTCGGCCATGCAGAGCCACATGATTATATCTTCGAACCAACGATGATCACAATTATGCGAAATGGTTTGAAACGACGCTTAAGGCTTGCTTCAGCGGGATTTGGAAAATCTTCAACTGTGGAGAAATAATAACGATCAAGTTAACGCGATCAAGTTATAAAAGTTCAAAGATTATAGACATTGTAGCTGGTTAAGACTTGTTTCAGCGGGATTTGGAAAATCATCAACTGTGGAGAAAATAATTCCTGTCTTGTTACAGGTATTTGTTGTAGAACTTAAATTAAAACTTCGCTCGCTTTTTTTTTTTATTATGAACAAATTGCTCGAGAAAATTCAGATATTAAATGAATGAAAGTTCCATCGTTCAGTTTAACTGTAACCAAATACCTCACGTTTCAACTTTCTGGGTACTTTTTGTGAACGATTAAAATTAATTGCAGACGGTTTTTAGGCCGCTTGTCAACCAACGTAATGATACTATTGTTTATACAAATTCATTCTAAAACCAATATTTTTCTGTCAACCAAAGTGATTTGATAGAGAGAAAAGGGAGAATTCATAAGTTATTTATCGGCTTGAGGTAGTGACCGACGTGTTTGCTTAAAAATACTGCCCAGCCGGAAAACGAGGTATATTTATGAAAAATGACAACGAAAGTTGGGAGGTACTCGGAGACTCACGAAAGCGTTACCGTGGCCCGTGGGCAGAGATAAGAAAATACTGACCGGGTAAAGAACCAATCAGATTGCAATATTCGTTACCGTGCCCTCTAAAAAAACAATAAAGACGGTTTACAACCTCTTGACGGAGTGTAATAATGAGAAATAATACATAGAGATTCAAATTACTTACTGTAATTTCATGCGACGAGTGTGTTGGAAGTATTAAATATAATACGAAGTTTAAAGCAAAGAATTTGCAAAACTACACCGGTTATCAAAAGGGGATTAAAGAGTGAAAAAACGAAAAACATTTTATTCGTGTATTGATAATTTTTTGCAACTTAAATCAAAACAAATTTTTATGGTTTTATGTCTATAAAGTATGTCGACTTTTTTACTCTTTCTCTCCTCTTACTTCTAAAATGGGACTTGAACTAATACGGAATGCAAAATTTGACGCCTTTCATTCACATAGCCTGCTTGCAATCCAAGTGGCTTGAGAACACACTGTATATCCAAGAAGTGATCACCTTTTTAGGTGATAAAAATATATTTCATGAAACGACTACAGCAAATAACAGCAACAGCAACAGGGTCGCCCTAGTTTGCATGGAGGAAATTATAACCTACCTTGTGAGGATATAATCTTTAGTAATTCTTTGCTTTCAACTATTCAATAGTTAATTTTTTAGTTACTATGAAATTCATTGAGTATTTTGCAAATTAACTAAATAGGATGTAAGTAACTATTTGAAAGATCTAATATTGTTAGATTCAATTACTGAATGAGACAGAGAATCCCACAATTTTGGTCCTTGGTATAACATTGTGAATTGTTTGATGATAGTGCTACAGACTTCAGTGAGGACAGTATAACTCAGCTTATCCAGTACAAGAACGATGAAAGAGTTTATGGGTTGAACTAACGTAACTCGATAGTAAAACACGTTTTTAAAAATAAACTCCTTTGGAGTGCTTACTTACTTTATTACAAGAAAGTTTAAAAATGTTGTCTTTTTCAATTTGAGCTGTAGCTATACATGTAAATGACCATGCATTTGTCATCAATGAAGTTCACCATATGAAAGACCAAAGTTGTTACAGGTTATTGGTTATTTTCAGATTAAAAACTGAAACACTTGCTTAGACTCCTAAATTTCCACATTTAGTTTTTTCATGTTCCACATTGGCTTTGCACTAATAAAAATGGAATGATGAAATTGGAATTTAACAATGGACATTCCACTAAGTGGCTCTTCTGGTCCACTATTTCCAGATCAAATTTAAATTTGGAGTGTTGGATGCGAACTAACAACAAACTCAACCCACAAGTGACACAAAGGTCAGGAATCAAACCCAGGCCACAGTGGTGGGAAGCAAGCACTCTCTCCGCTGCAGTACTATCCCTACAAGTAATTCTAGTTGTTCATTATACTTGTTATTTTTTCTGAAAACACATACTTAGACAAAGTAGATATTTTTAAAGTTTTGATGAACTGCGATCCTTGTGACTGTGGGTCAAGTTTTCAAAATTATTTAGCCTGGAGGGATTTTCAATGACAAAAACGTGACTCTTTAAGAGGCTATCGAGTTATTAGGATAATAAAACTCGTCTGATTAACCGCGAGGAAAGTTCTGAAAAAACGTGACAGTTACCCCGTCTGCAAACCAAACAAATGTTAGACGTGTTTTCGCACTAGTTCAAGGCAAGTTTGAACTTCTCCCACTGGCTATGAAGTTTATGACGGTAAACAAGCTTATATTTCGTCGGGTAAAGCAAATAAACGTGCTCGCTTAACGGCAGCACATATACTAAAATTGGAACGATACAGAGAAGATTAGCCTGACCGTAGCGCAAGGATGACACGCAAATTCTTGAAGTTTTCCAAATTTTCTTTTTTATTTCGGTGACAACTTAGCTCAGCTTGATGCTACCTGCACAGGCAAAAACTAGTCCTCTGGCACAACTGGTGCTAAAACAATCAGAAACGGAAAGAACATGAATTATTCTATTTCCGCTTCCTTGCACCACGCTTTTTGTGGGAATGGTTAGCACAACTTGAATTA